CTTTTGCAAATTGGTTGGTATTTTTCGTTTACTTCAATAATTCGCATTGGGAGACCTTGTTTGAAGCAAGGAGGCGCCAAGATTCGTGTTATTCAATAGGTCCCTATGCCTTCATCAGATGTTGAAGAGCCTCGAAACTAAAAAAGATTCTGGCCAAACTTGTGCAAAAGGAATAAAGCATGTGAGTAGCCCAAGAATCATGGCGTACACGTCTCGTGGCGACTGAACAAGTGCATCTTTGCATCATGTTCGCTTGTTTAATAATCACTTGAACTTGTGTTTTGAGTGGAAACTAACTGGAAATGGGTGTGGCCAGGAAGTAGGAGGCCGAGGTGAAGAAGAGGAAGAAGCCAAGACCGTCTGCCAAGCGGTTGCGGGGCAGAAGCTCGAGCAGACAATGAGGATTCAGCGTGTACACCGGAGACATGAGGCCGCCGAAAATGAGCGCAAACACCAACATTCTTGCGTAACTGCCGGACCAAACTGTCGGACAAAGCAGGTTGGCAACCGCATTCACCAGCGTGGCACCGCTCAGCAACAACATGGCGTTGGCTCCACCCAAACGGACGCAACGACCAGCACTCGTCTGGCCGGCTGTGTGGGACGACCGATACGCAATCATGTTGTGAGCTCGGCCAGGGTCTGGAAAAGACAAAAAGAATGTGAATGCAAACGAGCCTCAGTCTGGAAGATGCATGAGACGGTAGCAAAAAGATACAGAATTCTGGTTCCGATTTGTCCGGGCGGTAGTCAACTTATGACATTCTGTGAATAAGAACATGCTTCGTTAGCGCGCAAGTGACGATGCACAAATACATTTGTCTCCAATTGCAATGTTCACGTCGTGATTACGTCTCGGCTGAATTGATGCATCACTCAACTTTCGATTATTCTCATCCACCAAGTCAACTTGAATAGGGCTTTTCAAGTTTCCAGTACGAAAAGTGCTTTCGTAACTTGACTTGCATGCTTACAAACTCATATTTCTTTATCTCAACCATGCTTGCTTACGGACTTACGAAATCTCGGTCAGGGCTTTCTTTTGGTTCATTAAGCTTTGATGATCAGAGTCTGACATTAGCCTTTTGACAACTCTGATTCACGACCGGTATTGCGTATAGACGCTAACACACACACACATACATACACATACACACACATTCGAGCAAAAGAAGCAGGACCAGTCTGAAAGATAATTAGCCAAACCATTCTATATCGAACTTTTGCTTAATTGAGTTTATATAAAAGGTAAAATAGAATCGGATGGTCTTCTTGACCGAGTGTTAATGTGCGATTTTTACAAGATTAAGACCCAGCTCTGATGATGTTTATCAATTGATGGACGAAAGCTCAGCATGTTTTCACCGGAAACAAGAGAGCAAGTCTTGTGGACTGCGTCAACATGAATGTCTTATAAAAGCCAAACGGCTGCGGTACAACGAAATTCATCCGTCCTCGTTTGGTGAGATCGACCGACGAATCTCTTCTTCGTTTACTTTCATATGAACTGAAAGTCCCTCTAACAATATGATCTCAAGAGATTCATAGAAACCCAGTTTCTCTTCATATCTACGAAGTTTCCTCCATTTAATCGCATCAGCTACAGGCCTTCATGAGCAAAACTAGAGACTACACTCTGTCAACCCTTTGGCCCAGCTGATGTGGGTTGTCCCGACTCTCGATCGGAAAAATGTATTTCATCCCAGTGCAACGCATGTGCGTTTTAATCGACATGTTTTCAGGTGAAGACAGTCATTGGATTACTCCTTGAATGGATTGTTCCAATAAGAGAGTACGATTACGTCAATGGTTATGCCTATACTTTTGATGAAGTAAAGAGAAGAATTATTGTCCCAATCCAGGGAAGTGTAATTTTTTGATTGCAATATGGTGTTATTAATAATAATCACCATTATTGAGATTATAATTGTTGAGCTTACTTCCATTCCGAGTTAGGGTGTTTGTGTTTGGTGAAGAGATTGACAGGTCGATCCCTCCAGAAGACAACCATAGGCGGACTCGTCTTGATCAGCTGCCGATTGGCTTTGCTGAAACATTCTTGATGATGCTGTCTGCGAGTCAGTTTCCTTCGAGTTCGATGAAAACGTGCTAAGCTTTCTTCCGTCGTATGACGAACATTGTCAAAAATCAGGGAGAGTAGCATCTTTACGGCCATTTGCAAGCGGACAAGTCAAGAAAACTCACCGGTCCATCCATAAAATGATGTATACACATTCTGAAGATGAGCTCTTTGATGAGGTATGAGTCGATTTAGTTAGCTCAAGTCAACCTCGTTTCGAGGGAAAACGAGCTGAGCCTCCGTTCGTCACGCCATTTGACGAACATCATCAAAGTTGGAATGCATGTTTGCGAAAGTCACAAGCCTACATTAAGTCAAGAAAATTGACTGCCTCTTTCCTACAATATCTATCTATCTATCTA